GTAGAGATCATTACAAAGTAAAATTATTATGCAAAAAATCATAACATCTTAAATCAATTATACACATAAAAATTAAAACATTAATAAAACTGATTTATGAAAAGAAAAATGATGGAGGTGGGAGCGTGTCTCACACAAGAGGAGAAATAACGTGAGGAGCGAAATTGGATTAAACAAATACTAATATTTTTACTATTTATTGGTGCAAAATTTTTACTAATCAAATGCGGACAAACCATCGGTAGATATGTTTTGATACATTACATAATGTAGTCCTACTAAGAGTTTGAGAGGACACGATGCCCATTTTTTTGTTGTAGCAAAGGGCCACGCCAAACTTATTATGTCAATATCCCAACATAATGCCCCTTGGCTTGTAACATAAAATCATGGTGAACCCAACCCAAAATCACACCTTCCAATTTAATGCATTTTTGTCCATGATTTATTTATGTTTTGGGTGGGAAAAAAATACTCATTTAATACCATATAATAATAATAATAAATGTTGATTTTTTGAGAAATTGGTGGTTTAAAAATGTACCACGAAAAAAAAAAGTTAATGTTAGTAAATATAGAAAGAATATATTGTTTTTAACTCAAGTGCTACATGGTACACATTGATATTTTAGTTTTGTCTCTGTGGTTTGCCAAAATTTAGGACTTTGGTCCAAAAACTTGTAGTTGCACCACTAGTCTAAAAGTTTATTTGGTTACAAGTTTGGTCCAAAATATTTTTAAAATATCTAAAATGACATATTTGCCCTTATTATTATTTTTTCGACTTTTTTAAATTAAAAAAACCATCGGTAGACATGTTATAACGAAATCTTCCGTTTATGTTGTCTTAGCACTAGTGTCGTCGCCCTTCTCCGATCTCCGACTTAAATCATCGGAACCCTCATTCGTTTGATTGTGAGAAAGAGTAAAAAGAGTGGAGGATATGCCCACAACCACTGGTGTTGAACCTCTTTGAAAACCCTTCGATCTGGAAAACTCTCACATTTGAAAGTTCTCGTCAACGATAGAGGTGGTGTCGGCGGTGGTCTAATGAACAAAAGATCTGCAAACAAGGAATCGGAGTTAGGGTTTTATGATGAAAACTTAAGTGAAAGAGGGAGAAAGAGGAGAGGATGAAGACTCCGGTGAAGAGTGGTGGCTCTAACGAGAGGGTGGCGGGTCCAATGAGAGGATGCGAACTAATATGATTTTCCGGCGGCTTTATATTCTTGTAAAATAGAAATATATTAAATGAGAGAGAGAGAGGGTGGTTTCTGGTGAAACAATATAGATAGAGGGAAAAGAGACAGTCTAGGAAGAGGGATGTGGGTGGGACGAGATTTATATTTTGTTTTTTGTTTTATTTTAATTAAATAAATACTAAAGTAAGTAAAAAGGAAAGGATAAAATAAATAGAAAGGATAAAAATGTAATTTCAAACATATTCAACTCTGAAATAGACCAAAATTGCAACTAAATAAATTTTTTGGACCAATGATGCAACTTCAAAACTTTTTGGACCAAAGTCTCAATTTTTGACAAACGATAAGGACCAAATTTGTAATTTTGTCTTTAATTTTTTAAAAGGTATAAACTGTTTAAAATATAAAAGAGATTTTATTAAAATACATAAAAGTTATTTTAACATATAAAAAATAATAAAGTTATTTGTTGATTAAAAAAACGTTTTGTTGACCTAAACAAATAGTTTTTGATAAGTTGTTTTTGTTATATTTCATCTGATCTTTTTTTTTTCTGGAAATAAGGATCTCCCTTAACGAGAGTGTTTGGGCCATTTTACGCGCACCACGAGAACATGATGTTATGTATCGTGTATCTTATTTGAAAATACTTGTAACTTATTTGAAAGAGGTTATTATATGTGGAAATCAATCTTTTAAGTTTTAACCCATGGAATGCATAATGTTTGGGATATTATGTGTCTTATTTGAGATATTATGTGTCTCATTCTCATTAATCTCAAAGGTATTTATACATTACATTTTAAAATCCATCCATAACTCTAATGCTAAAATAAAGAAACTAAATGAAGATAATATGGAAATTATCATAATCTAAACAATATAGTATATACACACACAAATGCTCCAACAACTATCGAAAAGAATAATATTGAGAGAAAAGATGAGAGTTTGGAAAGTAAAAGATCTAGATGAAGAGAGCTGTCGAACTATCAAGAAAGAAAAAAAATTGAGGGAAGGTAAAAAGTTTGTTTTGGTTAATGAAAAAAAAAAGCCCAATAAATGTTGAAAAAAATAGAAGAAAATAATCAAGTAAAGAATCTGTCACAAGAAATAATAAAGCATCAAGAAAGGAGAGTGTTGATGGAAAATGGTTTTCTAATAGTTGAAGATGATTCGTAGTTGAGAAGAAGTGGCTGGAAATGTAATTGTTCTTTATATCGTATATACTAATAAACATTTTTAAAAAATTATTTTAAATAAACACTCCCTAAATACAAATACTAAAGTAAAAATAACAAATATTTATACCATCGTATGCTAAACACTAACAAATCATCATTTTAAGGGAATGTAAAATTGTAAATTGCGATTTAAACTTTAAGGCTTTTTATTTTCCACCTACCAAAGGTTTTTTTCTACCTACCACGAAGCTCTCACACTAAACTAGGTTAATTTTATCGGTTGTAACAAATATTTTTAAACTATTTAAGCTATCAATTCATGTTTGAATCTTTCTACATATCTAGCAATCAAATAACGTACAACACACAATGTATAATAAAACTTGATTTTTCATTTTAAATGAAATAATGATACAACTATTGAATCGGGGTCATACAATTCCAATTCCAATGAATTAGTAAAATAAGAAACAACATAAAGGTGGTGATGGAATTAACATCTTCCACCAAATTAAACCACGAACAACATAACTATATAAATAATTATATATAATCTATATTTCTCAAAATGATTATAAAATCGTTAGATCAATGGTAAGAATTCAAGTGGAAAACTTGGCATTTTGGCTTATATGAACTCTTGGAAGCAGCCTTTTCAAACTTCTTTGCTGCATCTTCGTTTTCCTCAAGACTTGTTTGAACAAAAAACCTTGCCCACCATGATGCACTCCGCATTTTAGCCTTCAAAAAAAAAGCCATTTAAATAGTTATTTTCAAATATTCAAAAAAAAAAAAAAAAAAAAAAAAGGCTAAATGCATGAAGTAACAACGTACTTTGACTTATTCATTTATTATAGCATCCTGCTTTCATTTTTTTCTATTACAATTTACAACATTGTACTTCTAATATTTTTTTTTCTTATTCACAAGAACAAATTGCAGGAAATAGCAATGTACTTTTACTCTTTTTACGAATATTAACAATGTACTTTAGTTTTTTTTTTTTTTTTAACAATAATTAGCACTATGTAACTCATAATATTCTTTACATAAAATAACAACATATGTAAAGTTTTTTTTACTCATAATAGCAATGTGATTGCATTTCTTTACCATTAATAGCAATATGTAAGTATGTAACAATAAAGTGCAATACCAATATTGTTAGAAAAATGTAGGTATATTGCTATTAAAGGTAAAAAAATTGCATTGCAATTATGGTAAAAAGTAAAAACATAGTACATTTCCCATATTAGTAATTAGGGTAAAATACGTTGCTATTCTCCACAATTTGCCTTGTTCACAAACTATATTTTGAGAAATGGGTTAATGAAAAAAAGCACTATATTTTTCCAAATATTTGGTTTAAACTTTAACCACCCAATTTTCATTTGTGCTAAAAAAAACACTCATTTTTACATAAAAGTTCTATCGTAACCACTACGACTTGCATTTGTGCTAAAAAAACACCCATAAATTGGTGGTTAAACCAAACTTTTAAAAAAATATAGTGTTTTTTTCATAATGAATCTAACATATTACAGGTACAATGGTCGCACTGAAACTTTTTACCAAAAAATGGTGGTTTTTTTCAGAACTTATTAAAAATTGGTTCTTAAACCGAATATTTGAAAAACTATAGTGCTTTTTTCGTCATTAACCCTTTGAGAAATCTACCCAATTCTTGAAATGAAAACTTTTTTGTATTTTAATGACATTGCTATAATCTATATTAGGTAGAATTTTTAAAATAAAATGTTGTAATTGAAAGAAATGAAAGTAGGATGATATAAGGGAAATTGTCAAAAAAGTCCCAACATTTTTGGAAAAATTTCACTTTAGTCCCAAATTTATTTATTTTTTTAACAAAAAAGTCCCGATTATTTGATTTTACACGATAATATGTCATTTCTTGTTAAAAGAAGAAAAATGACTTTTTTGTTAATTTCAGCCAAAAGAAATAATCGGGACTTTTATGTTCAAATTTTTTTTTTTGGGACTAAAGTGAAACTTTTCCGAAAATATTAGGACTTTTCTGACAATTAAACAAAAGTAAATGAAAGTATGTTGCTATTTCTAGCATTTAACACAAAACATATTATATACAATCAACTGCTTACCGGTCGTCCAAATTTTGATGCTTGTTGGAGTTTAGTTTTTGAACTACTCGGTTTACCTTAAAGAATTACACAAGATTCGAGTTAAAAATAAACAACTTTTAAATTTAACCTTTGATTTATAAATTACAGTTGTAATTTATAAAACTTACCTGTGAATATAACAAGATTTTGAGCAGAAACTCTTGCCAAATCGGGAAGGGTTTTGTTGAGGTATTTAGGAGATAAATAATCAACCGAATCCGAAACTATAATGAGAGAAAATGACTTAGCCCTATAAGGCAAAGGGAACTTGATGTCAGCAACACGAACAAGTCCCTTTCGCACAAGACTCCTACATGAGACGTCAGCATCTTCTATATCATACGGTTCAACTCCCCATGCTTCAGTGTCCTTTTCTTTTGTCAACTCAGACACTATTGAGCAAGTATCGGGCCCCACATGCAGTACTTTGTGCATGCTATCACCATACGTTTTCTTTAAAATGGGAATTGCAGTGTGAACATCAAACGTACAACTAAAGTCACCTGAAAAACGTTAAATCTTGTGAGAAAAAAGTTATACTGCTTCTGTAGACTTCTGCAGACTGCTAAAAAGGTTATTCTTCCAGCAACCACTGAGCTGAGGGCCACTGTGGGCCAGTCCACATTGTGTGTCGTTATTGATCTTAAACAAGAAATCCATTACCTTGAATCTTGCTAAATGTTTTATAGTCCCCGGATCCACCTACATTCAAGAAAAAGTGCTAAAGTAAATATAAGAAGCAAAATGCATACACATTTAGGCGAAGTATCATGAATTTTGAAACAAGAATGTAGAATTGAGTCTTGTTAACAAGATTAGTACAAACCTGAGCCCCGATAAACATACCCAATCACAAGGACAGTTCCCTGTGCATTAAAAAAGATTGAATTAAGTTTTGTGTGGGTTAGAGTTATAACATTGTGCCTAATATATGCATGTATGTATATATCAGGCACAGTATGTGTGCTTGATACATACAAGTACAAGTATCAGGCACAATGTGATTGTGCCAGATATGTGCTAAAAACAATACATGAGAGATTATGAACTTACAAGTAACACAAGTACAATGGATAATAGAGGAGAAGCTTTTGATTTAGAATGAAAAATCCCCCCTAGTGGGTTGCTTCCACCAACCACAAATCGCCTTGTGGGATTACCTGGTCTTCTTGACATGGCTATTTGTGTAAATTATATAGCTTAAAAGACTCCAACTGTATGAAAAAAATCATCATTAGAAGCTTTATAGACATGTTTTTTTAAATATATACTCCATTAGTCCAAAAGGTCAAGTTCTGATTTTAAAGATTTACATCTAGTACTTTTCAGATTCATAGTTGAAAGGGATTTTAGTTTCTTTATTCCAAAATGTTAATCTTATTGTATTATCATAATGTTGTCGATTTGAATTAGAAATAGTGAAAAAACAAGTTATTTGATATTTTGATTAACAAAAGTCTACATTTTTCATGTTGAAGTTCATGTGTATGTAAGAACATGAGGACCAAAATGAATCAAGGATCAAATCTATCAAGATTCAACAGGCCATGATAAATCATATAACAAAAAGTAAGAAACAACTACATTCACCTGATACAAAAAACGGCATTTGGGTTAACAAAATAGGCAAAAAATATATGATTGAATAAAGTCACAAGTAGGACTTTCCTTAAATGGAAAGACAGAAAGCAGCAGGGCATGAATCCCAAGAACTTGTTTTCAGATTGAATCAAAAGTCAAATAACGATTCAAGATTTTCAAAACCCATGAACAGAAATCGGAAATCGATCATACGTTGAAAGAAGATTGAGAAACTTGAGATGGATAGTAATGGAGTTTAAAGCACTGACCTTTGATGAATCTGTTAATGGGAAGAAGTCATCTTTTTTTGGATCTATAAAGGCTGGATCTTGGATCTGTTAAAGAAAACGAGTTGTGTGTGAAAATTGATGCTTTTAGAAATCAGACGTTCAAATAGTAGGGGTGTGAGCTAGAAAGACATAGACAGAATTAAAGAGTCGAACAAGTTGGGAAATCTGATGGGTAACGGGGTGTCGTGGGCCACGTTAAAATGATTTTGGATCTCGATTTCTCTGTCGGCAACGCTGGTCATAAGCTTTTCTTTACTTTTTATTTGTCCTTTTTCAATAATATGGTTCAATTCCGACCATGGCATTGTGGTGGGGATCGAATTAAAATGACGTCGTTTTGGTCGACAAATTTGGTCATAAGCTTATGTTGATTCTTGATACATTTTGAGAAAATACAAATTATGGTCGATCGTACAAATTGGATGTAGATAGAGACTAGAGAGACTGTATCAAGGTAGGGTGAACACGGTACAGTTTGATACGGGTATTGTTCAAAACTAAAATGTAAACCGTAAATACAGTTATTGCATTTTTGAAACTGAATGATGCGACTATTTTTGCAGTGCGGTTATGCGGTTTTTTATGAGGTTGTGGTTTGGTATTTAACCGCGTGAATTTGTGTGTGGGTTTTTTTTTCAATGTGATTATTAATTGTGTGGATTATGTACTTTTTTATGCGGTTTTAAAAGTTACAGAGTAGGTGTTGTTTGTTTATTAAGAGAAAAAATATAGTCTACGGACCGTATCTATAGACATATGCAGGAGAAGATGTAGATCAAACGTCTGAGAAAAATGTTTTTTAAAGTCTGCATGTTGTTAAAATAAACTGAAACTTATATAAATTAGTTTTAAACTTAAAAGAGTTTTTTTATCACTTACTTTTTATCAATAATTATTTATAATTTATAAAAAAACAAAACAATATCCATGCATAAATAGAATCAATCATCTATTTCAAACCGTTTTAAAAAGATATATATACAAAAATACTATGTATGGGAAAATTCATAAAACTATCTATGAAAAATCATCCTTAAAAATAATTGCTAATTAAATTGATTTTTACATTTAAAGTATTTGTTCGGTGAAAGCTTTGTAAAAATGGTGTTGAATCTTCAAGCTTTTATTAAAGATTAAATTGGTTTTAATTCTAATTAAAATGGTTTAATCCTAATTTTTTTACTTTAGGAATGGTAGTTTAGTAATATCATATGGTATTTGGGATTTTAGATAAGGTTTTCAATATTAAATTGGTTTAATCTTAATTAATATATTAGTTTGGATATAGAGTCGAACTTTATAGTTTTATATGGGCGTATGCATATGTAACAAACCATTATTTCAAGTCAATGTAATAGTCTAGATCAACTATTGTAACTTGTTTTTGAAATAATAAAGATATAATAAATTAAGATGAAAATAAGCGTCAAAAATAAAATGTTAGATAAACCCGATATCTATGAATAAAGTGGTAGTGGTCGTGACAAGGATTCCGGAAATACAAAGAACACTGAAATCTGAGCTATAACGAAGAAGTTATGGCTCATCAAAGTTCCGCGACAGAACCGGCACGACACTGTATGTCGTAAAAAGCAAGTTTACAATAAAATGCTTTTTGACCTTAACAAACTAAATGAAAATCGTAGTATATGTTAAACCGGGAGCGTGCATAAAAAGAACGTCCAAATCTGACTCCGTATGAAGAAGTTGTGAATTTTCTAAGATTTGGTATAACAGTGTGCAGCCCGGAATTCGAATTAAAGATCGAGCGATTTTTAGCCGACACAACCTAAACAATAATCGAAGACCTCGTCAATAATAGTTCAACGGTAAAAAGACATACGAAAACGGACGTCGGATGAAGAAGTTATGAATTTTTAACGGACTTTTCCTGTCCCGACCTGTTAAAAATATAACTTTAAAAATAAAGTCAAAATTAGCCAACGGAGTCTAAACGAAAGTTGTAGAGTATGGTCTCACCTACGTGTGGATATAAAGAACGTCGAAAACGGATCTCGTATGCAAAAGTTATGAACTTTTGAAGTTCGAGGCACAAATTTTGAGGTGTATCCGAAGGAGTACGCCCCGCGTACTCGGAAACTTGGTCCGGATTCGGCCACGTCGCTCCTCCTCCGCATAAGTAGACACGTCTGAAGCCCGAAAACCGAACAAACGCCACGTTCCTCCGAACGCCCCGCATACGAGGGTACGCCCTGCGTACCGGAACGCGCAGCGTCCTTCGCAGGTACGCCCAGCGTACCGAAGACCAGACCCCTACTATAAATAAACATGCGAGGCTGCCCGGTTTTGGTTGCTACTTTACTACTTCTTTCACTATATACACTCTCTCAAAGCCACTCTAAACCCCCGAAGCTTAGGGAACCTCCCTAACTGTTCATTATTCTACACGTAACCGTCGATATAGCTTTGTGAGACATACTTCAAGTACTTATCTAACGTATCAACCAAGCCCTGAAATTATAACCAAAGTCTTCTGGAGGGAGATCGTGACACTTGTGTATAGATCTATACGGGACTGACAATCCCGCACCTTAACTGTTCGCTACGGTTGGGCCGGCAGGCCTGGGGTCACAATTATCGTACCGATGGCGATGCCTGAAGAACGTCGTGTTCAGGCCATCTTAGGTCATCAAGCATGGTTATGATAACTCACAATTTTGTATTGAACAATACGATTAGTGTATGAATAAGTAACAACTTCATATAGTTTTATTAAATAATAAAACTACAATACAGTACAGCTGGTGAATCCAGACACTTACAATTACACAGTTTTTATACAAGTACAAATACAGAATATTATTCCAGTACAAAGAAAACATACTTTTCATGGTTTTATGTGAATTAAAACTAAATTATACTATCTCAGAGTACAATAACATTTACATGTTTTGGTCTTAGGGTATTAAGACTACAACACAATTACAATAGAAAATATAGGATTTTCTAGAAAAACATACTTACATTTTCAAGGAACAAATGACAGATTTCAATTACAAACATGCTTATGAACTCACCAACTTAACTGTTGACACTCTTTTCAAAACTACTTGTATTATCAGGAAATCAGTAAACATGTATCCACAGGTTTTGAGAAGACGGAGCTTCATAGACTCATGTCTTTTAACTTTTGATATACATTTTGGTGTCAATTATACATTGATTTGAACACGAATGTAAAACTATACTTTATCAATGTAATGGTTGTTTTTGACGTTCTTTTTTTCCACGCGTAGGTAAAAAACAAGACCTACAACTTTCGTTTAGACTCTGTCGGCTAATTCTCGACCGATCTTAAATTTAACAATAGGAGGATATTAGACTGTTAAATGACCGCGAAAAATTCGTATCTCCTTCATACGGACTCTGTTTTCGTCTGTATTTTTACCGTTGAGTTCCTATTAATGAGATCTTCAACTCTCATTTTGGTCGCGTAAGCCAAAAACCGCTCGAACTAAAATTCGAGTTTCGGGCCGTGCACTGTTATGCCAAATTTTAGAAAATTCATAACTTCCTCATACGAAATCAGATTTGGGCGTTCTTTTTATGGACGCTCGCGGTTTAACACATTCTACAACTTTTGTTTAGATTTCTAAGGCTAAAAAACCCTCTATCGTAAATTCACTATTTACGTTTCCCGGTGTCATGCCGGTTTTGACGTAAAACTTCGACGGGCCATAACTTCTTCGTTATAACTCGGATTTTGGCGTTATTTATATGTACGGAACCCTTGATAGATATTCTACAACTTGGTTAAGATTATTTATTCTAAATAATATTTTGTCGAAAAGTCGTTTTCGACCCCT